GTATTTATAGGGGTTGATGATATTTTTGATTTGTTGTGGAAGATGGTTCCACAGATGAGCTGCAGAGTACGCCAAACTTGTTTTGTACAAGTCTATTCTAGGTTTAGGAATGTGTAATATGTTTAGGCGTTTGCTATGTCGCCCATTATACTTGAAGAATGGCAAAAGGTAATCAAGAGCATTTTTGGATAAGATTTTGTGAATGACTTTGGCCTTATTGAAAAGTAGTCGTTTATGGAAGGAGAGTAACTTAAGATCTTTATGTAAACTGGAAATGTCTCTTCCATGATTATTACTGACTAAGCGTACAGCTCTTTTTTGAAGTGCTTTAAGCCGTTTCATGACTGAACTTGGACAGCCATCCTATATTGTGGAGCAGTAGTCTGGATATGGGAGGTGTTTTCATCCAAAAAGTATTTAATTTTTGCGAGCTGGTATACTTTTTTAGGTGTTTGTTTCACTAGAGCTTGAACATGAGAAGTGAAGGTTAAATTTCTATCAATAATTACGCCTAAAGCTTTGTGCTCAGTTACACATTCTACTGGGTTGTTACTGATGTAGAGCTGAAGCGTATTATGTGCCGATAAAGAATATAGTTTTTGTCTTGTTGATATTAACATGCATTTTGTTTTACTAATGTTTATTTGCATGCGGTTTGCATTGCTCCAGGAAAACACATTGTTCAATTCCTGTTGTAAAGATGACTCTAAAATATTACATGTTTGAGCACTTGTATAGACTGTACAGTCATCTGCAAATAAATCACACGACGACGACAGACACAAAGGAAGATCATTTATATAAATGGCAAATAACAGAGAGCAAAGAATAGAGCCCTGGGGTACTCCAGTATTCACCATAGTAGTCTGCGACAGGGATTTATTATATGAAACTACCTGTTTCCTATTTAACATAAAGGATTTTAATAACGTGAATAGATGACAATTGAAGTTCATTATTTCTAGTTTTCTAATAAGGATAGTATGGTCTATCATGTCAAAGGCTTTTCTAAAGTCTATAAACACGCACCCAGCAATTTTATCTACGTTAATATTCTGATGCCAGTTTTCTATCATGTTTGTTAAAGCTGTATGACACGAATACTTTAGTCGAAATCCTGATTGGTTATCAATTATGAGTTTTTTATTATCTAGATGTTGGAGAGTTATTTTGTGAATGTGTTTTTCTAGCGGCTTTGATAATGATGATAATAAGGAGATGGGTCTATAGCTACTTGGGAGACTACTATGGACAACCTAGCTTCCGCCTCCGCCCACGCCCCTACTACAAGTTGTACAGGTGGAGAGAGTGGTACAGTCAGATGTGCTGTGACTTGCAAAACCTGCTGACCTATATATGGTGGCAGTTTACACATGACTGGTTTGTTCGTTTCGGGTTCCCTTTAACTTCTTCTGAGGTTTAACGGGGTATCAGCGATCTGCCTAGTTGGGGTGCCTTCCAGAGTAGGATTATTTAATCTCAGAAAGGAATGGTGAATCTTTCGGTAGCATCTCGGAGTGAACACCTCGGTCGAAGGATCGGGAAATAGAAATTAGCGTCTGGGACTCGGAGCGTCTTGGGTTCTTTAGGAAGAATCAGATAAGAAGGATATAGTTTATGTTTTGTCTTGAACATTTGGATATGTGGTGATGAGTAGGGCACTAGATTGGCTGCTGCTGCCCTTCTTTGGCGTGAGCTACTTTACGATAAAGCGGACGTGGTGAAGGCTCTCATGAATCAGGTGAACTGTGTAGCAAAACAGAGCATCCATATCTGGACAAAAATAGGAGATTCAGAGACAGAGAATCTACATCTGGACAAAATGGAAGATTCACAAACAGACATCCATATCTGGAAAAGATGGGATATTCACAGACACAGAATCTATATCTGGAGAGAATGGGAGAATCGCAAACAGACATCCATATCTGGAGAGAATGGGGGATTCAACTGGGAATGAGCAAAGGGATTGGATGATTGGGTGTCCACAAGGGGAAAAGCAAACAGCTTGGGAACTCTTCGTTAGCTACTGAACATGTAGACTGAGCACGTATAGGAATGTTCTAAGTGCATGTCAATTCTTGATTCATTCAATTCATTTATACAATAATAATAATAATAATAATAATAATAATAATAATAATAATAATAATAATAATAATAATAATAATAATAATAATAATAATAAATAATAATATTAATATTAATAATGTGCTGAACAATAATTACATAAACTGTCTAAATATTAAAAAATGTAATGAGACATATTCAATCAGATATCTTCTAAACATGGTTGACAGATAGCGGCCCCTTGCCTCCTTACACATTTTGAAACAAATAACGAATTTAGACCCAGCTACGCCCATCTTCACACTAGGTCACGTTTCATTGATGCTTGGTCAGGTTGGTCAATGTTGCTCAAAGGTTAAAGGAGTGTCCCGTGTGTACTGCTTTAGAATGGCCTCTCTCGTAGGAGAGATGTGTTATGTGGGGGGGGGGGGGGGGGGGTGGGGATGTGGGGGGGGGGGGGGGGGGTGATTTCGTAAAAACGCTCACATCCGGTTAAAAAGAGCACGCTCCCCCCCCCCCTCCCCACCACTAAAAAAAGCTACATTGTTGGGTTTGTTAACTGCGGGGGGAGGGGGGGGGGGGGGTGGGGGTCTAGGGTTTCAGCATCCTTGGTAATCTAGACTTTGACTTAGAAACATGTAATGGGTCTCATAAAACTAAGAAGAACTAACTTACTTAGACTTGTCAAATGTAACCCACAGAACCGAGATTTCAAAGATAGGTGGCTTTACGACAGATCATCAGTAACAAGGTGGCTTTACGACAGATCATCAGTAACAAGGTGGCTTTACGACAGATCATCAGTAACAAGGTGGCTTTACGACAGATCATTAACAAGTGACTTACGACAGATCATCAGTAAGGTGTCTTTACGACAGATCATCAGTAACAAAGGTGGCTTTACGACAGATCATTTGGCTTTACGACAGATCATCAGTATGTGGCTTTAAACGACAGATCATCAGTAACAAGGTGGCTTTACGACAGATCATCAGTAACAAGGTGGCTTTACGACAGATCATCAGTAACAAGGTGGCTTTACGACAGATCATCAGTAACAAGGTGGCTTTACGACAGATCATCAGTAACAAGGTGGCTTTACGACAGATCATCAGTAACATCATGCTCTTTGCCAGAAAATGTCCTTGTTCATGTCTCTCCGCAAATCCGTGTCCCTTGTTTTGGAAATCAGTTCTGACTTTTGAAGTTTTACCTCCATATTACCGCTGAGCATCATCTCTCATTAAAGACATCAACATTAACTCGCAAATCTTTTTTCTGTCAGACTATGCGGGTGTTCCAGACAATATGCGCAAAATTATCTGACGGGCAAGGCGGTTACGGTGACCAGTTCGGCACTAGACAGGAGCGATGCCATTAATTTTGGGCGAGATGCAAATGGCGAAAAAGATCACAACAAGCAAAACTTAGTATCCTGGTCCAGGTTGGTAGACATAGAGGCATCACCTGGAGAAGCAAGGTATCAGCACTTCACTAAAAAAGCAGTAGCCGTCCGATAGATCGTCACAGAACTGGCGTGATCAGTTGTTTTAAGCTCAGGGGTTTTTGGAGACTGGATCAGCTATGGACCTGTTCGGAGTGCTATGCTGATAAGTAAAAGTGTTGATAGCCCTCACTCGTCTCGGCCTGCCTCTTCTTTCCAATTACCCCTGGTTTTATCCCCGTCTCTCTTCTCAACGCATGACCATCACTAGACACTGTCTTTCTGGTATTCATTTATAATGACGTTTCGTGAGTTTTTCTCCAGGCTGTTGAAGGTGACTCTGGTTACATCAGATATTTGTCATGCCTGTCTCATCAACCACATCTCTTCTTCCTCCCCCTCTGCTTCAATCACCCTGTACTGTTTTACTCCCACTGCTACGACATTACATCACACTGTTTCAGATCAGTGAATTTGTACGCGGGTCTTCCCATTTGCCTTCATAATGCCAAGTTTGCCGGGGTTCGATTCCAGCTGCGGGCCATGCGCCTTGCGTTGGTTTCGACAGTGGTATCAAGAAAGCCGGCCGTCCAGAAGGCAATGGCAAACTACTAGACGTAAATTTGCCTAGATAAACCACACAACAGCCAGGAGCTGTTGGGGTTGGTTCTGCACCGTCCTGTAAAGGATACGCAACTAGCCATCCCATTTGCACGCCGCTACAAACTAGCTCGTCGCTTCTGATTGGACGAACTTACTTGGACGATAGACTTACCGACTTTAAACACCAGATCACTGGGTCTAACACCCAGAGACAAACGCTGTCCACTGCTATGACATCACCCCACACTGTTCTAGATCTTTTGGTAACTGTTACACTCCCACTGATATGACATTAAGACACGCTGTCATATTCTCTCCCTCTATAACCTCAGGCACATGCATATAATGCCTTAAATCCATTATCGCTGACAATCGCTTCAAAATAATTCTAAAACATGGTTTTCCAGATGGGAAATTAAGTCCTAAATTATTGACCGTCGTAATTTAAAAGGGGTTTTACACACACACATACACACGCGAGCGCAAACGCACACCCACCCACTCACTCCCACTCATACACACACACACTCTCACACACACACACTCCCACACGCACACACTCACACACTCATACATAGTAACACGCATCACAACTGTGCTAAATGATCTCAGCCTGGGCAATGGGGATACAACCACTCCAGAGAGCGATGGCTGTTCTTGCCAGATGTCATTTTGAGCGCATGTGTCAGGATCTGGTGCAAGTGTCAGGATCTGACAGAGACAGACAGAGACAGAGAGAGAGACAGAGACAGAGAGAGACCGAGACAGACAGAGACAGAAACAGAGAGAGACAGAAACAGAGAGAGACAGAGACAGAGAAAGAAAGAGAGAAAGAGATTAGCATAGCTAGTAACTGAATGTCTTATCATCTTGTTGCCTGCAGGGCAGCTTACAGCAGAGTCAGCAACCACTGCATCCCGTGGCGGGCACCATGTACCCTGGACGATGCCCTGATCAGCAAGTATAGCTTCCTCAGGTGCTGCAACTCTGGAGCTTGCAGGTATGCTATGAAAATGTTTGTCTGGTCTCTGAACGTGTATGTCTGGTCTGTGACAGTGTCTGTCTGGTCTGTAACAGTATCTTTTTAGTCTGTGACAGTGTCTGTCTGGTTTGTGACAGTGTCTGTCTGATCTGTCACAGTGTGTCTGGTCTGTGACAGTGTCTGTCTGGTTTGTGACACTGTATGTCTGGTCTGTCACAGTGTGTCTGGTCTGTGACAGTGTCTGTCTGTTCTGTCACAGTGTTTGTCTGGTCTGTCACAATGTCTGTCTGATTTGTGACAGTGTATGTCTGGTCTGTCACAGTGTCTGTCTGGTCTGTGACAGTGTCTGTCTGGTTTGTGACAGTGTCTGTCTGTTCTGTCACAGTGTGTGTCTGGTCTGTCACAGTGTGTCTGGTCTGTCACAGTGTCTGTCTGGTCTGTCACAGTGTGTCTGGTCTGTGACAGTGTCTGTCTGGTTTGTGACAGTGTCTATCTGGTCTGTGACAGTGTGTCTTGTCTGTGACAGTGTGTCTGGTCTGTGACAGTGTGTCTGGTCTGTGAAAGTGTTTGGCTGGTTTGTAACAATATCTGTCTGGTATGTGACAGTGTCTTTCTGGTCTGTGATGAGCACTTTATCATCAGTCAATGTGTTCTTTACATAACGTCGCTCTTGTCATAACACATTTGAAAGTCTCTCTTTTTGAAGCCAATTCTCCAGCCCTATGTGTTTTCCTAGCCAGTGCACCTAAACATCTAGTATGCACCTTCACATAGACCTGCCTCTGCTGGGTTTTTGGAATCTTCACACCCACCACATCAAATCACAGTTGTTTTTCCCAGACCACTATGATGCTCAATATGGCCAGAATACCTCAGTTGTTTATGACCCAGTTAACCTCACTTTTCCTAGAATGTCTGTGTTTTTCTTGTTTCTTGATCCATTGCATTCTAAGAAATTTTACGTAGCATTTGTTAATTATTTTGCTCTCAGTTCCTGGAAAAATATTAAGTAGGATTATTCTGAGAAGACTAAAAGATGCTATTGATAAAACGCAAGGAGAGGGACGGGCAGGTTTTCTGCCGAACATATATCCTGTACTCAACATAAAGCCACACTAGGTATTATAATACAGTGGAACCTCGCTTAACGAGCATAATTCGTTCCAGAATTATACTCGTTAAGCGAAACACTCGTTATGCGAAACAATTTTCTCATTTAAATTAATGTAAAATACGATAATGTGTTCCATGTCGAAAAAAATACTCACAAAATGCTATGTATTACGTTTATTCAAAGAAAATTATACACATATTGTCAAGGAGAGTAAATCATCTTTATCTTTTCTTCCACTGCGGAACGTACCCACAAAGATACATAGCTGATAACTTTTTTTTTAACTACATAAATGTCCAGTAACATTTGTTTTTGTCGACGCTTTAAAATTTGGCGAAAATGCGACACAGCATTATCATTAAATAAATTTGCAACGCGCATAGCCACTTCCTTTTTATGGTGATGCTTCTCAGTGTAAGATGCAACAGTTTGTCATGCTTTCAGCATTTTTCTTATTTCGCCAGAAGATTGCTGCTTTTTTGTTACCTCCTCCTCCTCTGGCAAACTTTCCTCCAAAACTTCTTGCTGTGAAACACAATAAAACTCCATAAGCTCTTGTGTGGTCAGCTCTTGTCTGTGCTCTTCTACAAGCTCTTCGATATCACTGTTATCCACCTACAATCCCATGATAGTGGCCAAAGACACAATCTCGTTTACTAAAGATTCCGCAGGTACTGTCTCGAACTCCTCAAATCACAAATCGACAACGCTCTCTGGCCAAAGCTTCTTCCAAGCAGTAGTTAGGGTTCTCTTGATAACCCCTTCCCCCGCCTTGTCTATCATCTTGAGGCAGGCAACGATGTGGAAGAGATTTTTTTCAAAACTCTTTGAGAGTGAGATTGGTCCCTTCAGTCAGCTGAAAACAATGCTCGAAGAGAGCTTTAGTGTAGAGCTTCTTAAAGTTAGAAATAACTTGCTGGTCCATGGGCTGGAGTAACGGTGGGGTGTTGGGAGGCAGAAACTGGATCTTGGTGAACCTAAATTTTTCAGAGAGGTCATGTTGTAGGCCTAGAGGATTCATGTACACACATCACAATATAGCACAAGTTTGAAAAAATGTGTGATCACAAGCAACACTACGATGCTACTGGAACGAGTGCTAAACACAGACTGATGTAACATGGGCACAATCCGAGACTTCCCCTCTCCCCGCCACTCGTTATGCGAAACGTCGCTCGTTAAGCGAGTCATTCTTTTACAATTTGTTTTGCTCGTTATGCGAATTACTCGTTATGAGAGGTGCTCGTTAAGAGAGGTTCTACTGTATAGCAAAGCATTGAACTGAACTCACCACTTTACAATGGATTCATAGATTATGTAAATAGATTTTGACAGAACTGATAGGGCATCTTTCTGGAAATGTTTGGGTCACTATGGCATCCCACAGAAAATTATTAACTTAACAAAGACAACGTATAAAGACATGAAATGTCGAGTTCTTTGTGAGGGAAAAACTAACAGATACATTTGAGAAATAACAGGTGTGCGACAGGGATGTCTTGTGTTACTGACAATAGATTGGATAGTGAAGACAGCAACAGCTTACACCAAGAATGGAATTCAGTGGATCCCTCAAAAGAAGCTGATACGATCTGGTCCTCGCTGATGATATTTCTCTTGTGTCCTGTCACGTCTGATGCCAGATACACTAGGTCTAAAAATTTAAAAAGATGGGCAAAATAATGTGCATCTTATACTTTTTGGGAATCAAAGGGGGGGGGGCGGAGCTCTGGCAGGGATATTTGAAGGGAAATTAAACGACCAATACAAAAGGCAAGAGAAGTTTTCACAACCCCGAGTATATTTTTTGCAGGTCGAAAAACATTCAAACTACTACTAATTTTTTTTTTAAATTCTTATGTCAAATCAGTACTGTTGTGTAGAGCAGATCCAGGGAAGAACAATTGAAACAGTTACAAATAAACTATAAACATTCATTGACTGGTGCCTGCGTAAAATAACGGCTATCCAATTTTTTTCTTGTCATCATCATCATCATGTGGCAGGTCCTTTGCAGAACGTCGCTGTCATCACAGTCTGCCTTTAAGAAACTCGGTCTCTCGCCAGTTCTCCCGCCTCATGAACTTTCACACTCAAGGAGTCACTTATATCCTGTGTCCATCTTCGTGTCGGTCGGCCCCTGCTCCTCCTTCCTGGTACCATACCTTCTGCTATAATTGTTTCCTAATCCGTTGTGGCGCTTGATATGACCAAAATATTTCAGCTTCCGAGAAACTATGCTGTTTATTAGCCAATCTTCCCTGATGTTCAGATCTTTTGAGACGTCAATATTTCTCCTCTTCTTTGTCCAAAATATTCTGAGAATATTTCTATAGCATTTCAGCTCAAAAGCCCCTATTCTCTTTCTTGTCATAGAAAGCCTAAACGAGTCCTAGCTACCTGCACTGCATTTCTCATATAAGTTTGTGGTCATTATGTATTCGTTAGAAAATCTCAGCTGTGTCTGTGCTTTTGAGTATATGTGTGTGGGTGTGTGTGCGCGCGTCACGCGTGTGTCTGGGACAGAGTACTGTCCTTGGTATGCACGCATTTGACATTTCAGTAAGGACCATGCACGTGTGTTCGTTTCTAGGCTGGTTTGTCTTCAAGTTGTCGATCTGGGAGTGAACACACACACACACACACACACACACACACATATGTATATAAATATGTACATATGTGTACACACACATGTATATAATATATATATGTACCGATATATTTCTAGTCAGTTATATTTTTTTAGACGTAAGGCATAATTTTCATGTAATCAAAGAGGGGGAGGTAGGTTGGGTGGGGAGGGGGGGGGGGATATTGTCTTGTGACTACCAGCACCATCTTTAAAGCAACAAACAGAGCCCTGATTGTGGTAAGGTCAAGAAGTAGATAACTGTTGTCTTTGCCTCATGATGTCCTGGTCTCAATTTGTGTATAACTAAATATATATGTATTGTCCTTGCAGATGTAACCTGTGGGGAAACAACTGCAGATGTGAGGCCACCCTCGGGAGGTAACTTCACCCAGACAGAACCCCAGCTGCACGCGTGATTAGCCGTCACGGGTCAAGCAGTGGAAGTGACCTCTTTTATTGCCTAATAGTTATGTACAGTAGCAGAAATTCATAAGATTACGTAAGGAACAGACAGTACCAATGCATTGTTGGGTAAATGTTGGATAGCACGCTACAACAGCACATGTCACGAGCATACTCTTAGTTTATTCCAACACATTCTAACGCAAAAGCAAATTGCAACAGCGCAATCAAACAGCACATGCGATTGGGACACTTCAAAAATAAGCTCAAAATGCACAGTTAAATGGTCATAGAATCACACTCAACAGCACACTCCAGCATCACATTGCAATAGATATTCCAACAGCACATTCCAACAACAAATTCTAACAACACATTACAACAGCATATTCCAACAGCGTATTCCAACAGCGTATTCTAACAGCGCATTCCAACAGCACATTTCAACAGCACATTTCAATAGCGTATTTTAACAGCACAATCTGAAATCATGTTCCAACAGCTCATTTAAAATGTACGTTTCATGGGCACATTCTAAGAGTACACTTCAACCGACTACTCCAGAAGTAGATTATACTCATTAATTTACCAGTATACTGCAACAGTACACCCCAAAAGTATATTTCAACGGTGTTCTCCAGAAGTACACTCTAAAAGTACATTCCAAAAGTACACGTGGAAACCACACATCAAGAATACGTTGCAATCCTCACACTTGTCAGAGAACACAGAATACACGTTAGAAACAGACACAACACACACACACACTTGCTTGGCTTAGAAAGAACAGAATGTTACCGAATCACAGACACATGAACTGAATCGCATTACTTTCGGATTCAAATTCAAAGACATGATTAGTTTTTGACATGTTGGGTTAGTTAATGTGTCGAGGCTTCTCCAGTGACGTTCAGACAGCAATAAAGAATCACATACACAGACATGCCAGTTGTTTGCTTGTTTGTTTGTTTGTTTGTTGTAATATTTCATATCAGAGTTGTTGAAATTCCTAACCCCATGGCCCCCCACTCTTTCAAAGTGTACACATGAGTCAGGATGAGTATTTTACACACAAACATACACTGCATACACATCATACATATATACAAACATACAAACACATATATACATACATTCATACATAAATACACACATACATACAAAAAAAACATACATACATACATATATACATGCACACACACATACAAACATACATACAAACACACAAAATACATATATACACATACATACATACATACATACATACATACATACATACATACATACATACATACATACATACATACATACATACATACATACATACATACATACATACATACATACATACATACATACATACATACATACATACATACATACATACATACATACATACATACATACATACATACATACATACATACATACATACATTACATACATACATACATACATACATACATACATACATCCATCCATCCATACCATCCATCCATCCATCCATCCATCCATCCATCCACCCACCCACCCACCCACACACACACACACACACACACACACACACACATACATACATACATACACACACACACACACACACACACACAACATACATACATACATACATACATACATACATACATACATACATACATACATACATACATAACATACATACATACATACATACATACATACATACTACATACATACATACATACATACATACATACATACATACATACATACATACATACATACATACATACATACATACATACATACATACATACATACATACATACATACATACATACATACATACATACATACATACATACATACATACATACATACATACATACATACATACATACATACATACATACATACATACATTACATACATACCATCCATCCATCCATCCATCCATCCATCCATCCATCCATCCATCCATCCCACCCACCCACCCACCCACACACACACACACACACACACACACACATACATACATACATACACACACACACACACACACAAACAAACATACATACATACATACATACATACATACATACATACATACATACATACATACATACATACATACATACATACATACATACATACATACATACATACATACATACATACATACATACATACATACATACATACATACATACATACATACATACCATACATACATACATACATACATACATACATACATACATACATACATACATACATACATACATACATACATACATACATACATACATACATACATACATACATACATACATACATACATACATACATACATACATACATACATACATACATACATACATACATACATATCATACATACATACATACATACATACATACATACATACATACATACATACATACATACATACATACATACATACATACATACATACATACATACATACATACATACATACATACACATACATACATACATACATACACATACATTTTTTTTTTCTGGAAATAAAACAAAAAAGGTGCTTTTACTCTTCACCATGCGTTCTTTAAGGCAGTGATACAAAGAAAGTGTGCCACAATGAAGAAAAGCACCTTTATGTCACCAACAGGCCGATTGCTTAGCGACTCAGCGTTTTGCTGGCTAGTTAGTGACACTGTGGATGCAGGTGTAGAAGTAAACGAATACACTGGTATTCTGGCTGGGCTACTGGTAATGGGACGAGCAATTGTCAGGGTTGCTTTGCTGAAGCTCTTTGAGAGGGAGAGATGTATAATTATCATGTGGTGGGTGAATCAGCAACTATGACCAGGCTTACAGAGCTGCGGGTTAAAAGGAGGGGCGTCAAAACAAGAGAGCATCCCAGAGGGTCAAAGATGTGGAAAGTACATACATTTGTCATCAGTCGCTACACTCTTGCAGACAGACTGAAGAGGGGCGCCAACAAGTACTCTAATTATAATTTGTCGAGCATTGAGGATTCCACAATAATTTAGACCTAAATAGTATTTTTTCCTCCAGGATTGCAGTCTGTCTGAGAAACATCTCGAAGTGGGAACCAAACAGATACAAATTTGGGAACGCCGTTGAACAGTATAGCCATGTAGGACAGTTCTTATGGGGCGCCGCAAAACGGCCACGAAGTGACTTGTGTTCCAATGTGTCAGGGTTTCATTAGTATTCCAATTTGTCTGGGTCTCATTAGTATTCCTATGTGTATGGGTTTCATAAGTATTCCAATGTGTTTGGATTTCATTAGTATTCCAATGTGTCTGGGTTTCATTAGTATGACTGACTGACTGACTGACTTTCTACCCCACCAGGACATCACACAAGCGATAAAAACTCGAGGACACAAAGTGCCACCATGCGGATGAGGATCACCGTGGAGAGGTCCCAGAAACCGCGTTCAGACAATTGGCCATATTGATGGCCTGCCTATATTGCGGCCCCTGGCAAAAGCTAGAGTGGGGCTTCAAATAACAAAAAATTACGTCCTAAGCAGAACGAAGTGAATATAATTCATTAGTATTCCAATGTGTTTGGTTTTCTTTAGCATTTCAATCTTGCGCTTCTGTCAACACTTATTATATTTGCTTGTTGTGTACATTAATATAATTGGGGATAAAAAACATGACTGCAATGAATGAAACAATATATAAAGAGAAAAGATTCACATATTTCATGTTTCGCTGGTCTTTCATGCTCTCACAAATAAGGAAATATAATTCATAGTATAACTCAGCATAAAGTAGTAAATACAGAGTTATCTAACTTAACAAAACCAATATTGCCACCCTTTTCATTTAGCTGAAAAAAAAAGTTGGCTTTGATGAAAGAGGGTTGTTTTGCCTTCAGGACATCCTGTTTAAATTTGTTTAAAAAAAAACAGCTTGTTTGTAAGCGAGAGCTCAATCCATATTAGTGTCGCAGTGAGGAATACTTTGTACATGTCTAAAGGGGCCATCAGGTTTGTTTCTGGTGACACAATTGACAGAGAAGGTCAGGGTTGGCGCAACCAAAGTCTGCTGATTGGAGGGTTCTATACAGATCAGAGAGTCACCATGCAACAGACAGAGCGGCAAAAGGAGGTACCAGCAGCACTAACACATTTTTCACGGAACTGGGCAAAACCAAATAAAAATCAGTAATCAGAGACAAAATATGCAGAAAATGGTCCCAGCAGTGGTCGAGCAGCGTTAAGGACAGAGCCGCCTACAAGTTATTAAAAAAAAAAAAAAAACTGTCACAAGAGTCAAGTGCAAGCGCTGACGACAATTCCTGTCATTCAGAAACTGTGGAAGATGCGACTAGGGTGCTGGCTAGACGATTCTGAGGAACGCAGGGCCGACAACTCTATGGAACACTTCCGGCTGAACTGTAAAACCTGCGACCTAGAAAAACAAGAGCTCGTTTTCCACTTCAGAGCAAGAAGCCAACCAATGATAGACGAAAACTGCCTCAGCGTGTGCACTAAGGACCAGACCCAGCGACTAGTCAGGCAGTTCATTTTAAGAGCACGGAAAGCGATCTGAAAGCCACCCCTCAACCCAGACCGGCAGCTGCACAACCCGGTGTGACCTGACCAGGTCCAGCGAGTACCAGTGATACTCGGCAAAACAAGTTATCTTTCGCTCTCACTCTTCCGACCTCACATTATGTCCTCTGAAACATTCGAGCAATCTAAACCTATGCCATTTCCACGTTCTCTGCCCCACAGGCGACTAACAAAGTAAATGACCAATGTAAACTCCCACTGAGCTTACAACAATTCTTAACTTAGTATTTTACAGGAAGTTGGAGACAACGAAAACCACCAAAGGCCACTCGACGCTATGAAGCAGATAGCTGAGGGCACTGCACCAAAGGCGACCAACACTCGGAGATTACTGTCACTCTTAGGCCATCCTGCTCGCAGACCACGTGTATTTAAACAATGCTTTTCAGTTTTATTTCAGA